TTCATTAATCTGTGGTGCCATTACAAATGCATTTATATCATATGTAAGTGAATATTTAAATAGATTAAGTGTCTGTATTTGAACACTAGCGACACTTTAGAAATACTAGAGAGGATAGTGTACCTACTATATATTTCCTGATTATTTTAACAAATTATAATAGGTTAAACAAGGTGTTATGGGCAATTTAAACATATATGGGTATGTTTAGATATACATGTATATGTATATATTTGGGACATCTTTGAAAAATATATATTTAATTAAAATCAACTAAAAATCAAGAAGTATTATAGGTTACCAACATACATATTTTTTCTTTGATTTTAAATAGTTGCTTTGACTTTCAGCTAATTTTTTATCGCTTTCAATCTAAAAATAGATTAGTATATACAGTTGCATGAAAATGTGTATGCTTTGAATTCAAATTTTGACTCTTTAAACTAATATATCATTTATAGAATTTAAACAATTTGAAACAAATTATAAATACTTCTATTTTGTTTCTTTTTCTATTTGTATTATTTTGCTTTTCATTTCTTTTTCTAAGTGTGCTACCAATTTTTTCACTTCTCCTACATATTACCCTACAATAAGTGGAATTAATTGGAATGCATTCTGTTCTTTTACATTATATTTTGATTTACATGATAATTCTTTCCTGTAAATATTTGAAATTTTACACACTATTCCATTTTTAATATCACTAAGGAGACACATATCTTCAAGTTATATATACAATAATACTGTCTCAGAATCCAATTCAGTAAAGATGGCTATCATTGCACAAGGTGAGATTTATTTCTACTTCAAACAGGACTTAGATAGAGGAGACTACTTCACAAGAGTTCATTATAAGCTATCATAAAATACAGTCAAGATACATCATAAACACTGGAAGTTTCCCATTAGCTTTGATTCTCATGGTCCTCCTACTTGCTAATATATGCTTGTGCTATGTTGTTGCCTTTTTCAAAAACTACTGCAAGCTACATTTTCCCCCTCTAACTTGCATCTGTTAATGCTTATCACTGTTTATATATGTATGTATGTATGCATGTATGTGTGCACATGTGTGTGTGTGTACATATAAACACACATCCTCATCCAGCTAATCTATAGCTTAGCTTTATCTTTCATATTTACATTTAATGATTTGGATTTGGAACACTAAAAGAAGTGCATTCAAAAATAGTGTTTGCAAAGCAATTAAGCTTTTTCTTACAATATAACTAAACTCCTCAATATTTTTAATAGTCAAACATATCTTTAAAAATCATTGGGCATAATGGTTTTATTCTAGGTAATGTGATATTCTAATTATATATCAGACTATGAAAGCTATCTAGTGATATGTCACTATTATTTTAGGAAATATATAAGAAGTACATTTATATTCATCATTTTATTTTATTATGCTATTAGATATTAAGGTTATATATGTATGTATACATACACATATATGTATATATATCCACAATGAAGATAGATAGATAGATTATGGACAGCAGATAATATTTGTCTCTTTAAGGGGGATAGAAAGATTGAACCTGAGGTTGGTGTTGGCATGCAAGCCTGATCTGTTTATTTTCGTTAATTTTTCCCAGATTCCTGGTAAGTGTCATTCTTTGTCATAAATTGATTAAGAAAAGGTTTGAAAATACTTATGCAAATGTGGGAAAGTCTAGGCATGTCTAGCAATAGATAAAATATGTAATTTTAACACGACTCTGGAAATACTTGGGATTTTTCACGATGTTTCTGAGAATCATAATTTTTGTTTATTTAATAATAACATTCATGTATCACATTCACATTTATCTGTATAAAGTCTATTAATGGAGATGACTAATCTCATCCCACACCAAACTATCCATCTTAGAACTGTACCATCTGAGGCTAAGGACCTAATCTATGTGGGATTGGAACCACTTGCTGTTTAGTTAATTAGTCGTGTCTGACTCTTCAAGACCCAAATTGGGGTTTTCTTGGCCAAGATACTGGAGTGGTTTGCCCTTTCTTCTCTAGCTCATTTTAAAGATGAGGCAATTGAGGTAAATAGGGTGAAGTAACTTGTCCAGGGTCAAATGCTAGTAAGAGTCTGAGGCCAGATTTAACTCAGGTCCTTCAACCTCAAGGACCAGCACATAGATGCCCCTACTGGAACCACATGCTAACTTAATTGGCCATAGTCGTTGATTCATGTCCATTATTTAAGTGGGAAGTGAAAATTTTCTTGTTTAAGCAGCTAAAATTAATGATAATTAATTACACTAGAAACATATGATTTACATATATACATACACACTTATGTATATTTATATAGACACAAATCTATTTCTTAATTTTTTAAATTTATGGAATAAAACAAGCATTTCCATAACATAGTAGAGTAAAAAAAAAAGATGATTGTTTATGAAACTGCAGCTGTACTGTGCACAACTTGCCGTTCCTTTCAAATACACAAAAAATTATAATGTAAATTTCTTTTTTCCTTTTTTTTCTTCCCTCCCCACGAATCTATTTCTTTTTCTTTTTCTTTTTTAGGCTAGGCAATGGGGTTAAGTGACTTGCCTAGGGTCACACAGCTAGTAAGTGTTAAGTGTCTGAGGCCAAATTTGAACTCAGGTCCTCCTGACTCCAAGACCAGTGCCCTATCCACTGCACCACCTAACTGCCTTCCCACAAATCTATTTCAATGGACATATGATTTCGCTGGTGTGCAGAGTAGCCAGTGAGAAGCTTCTTTTACAATTGTAGGTAATTCTGCAACTTACAACCCCGAGAGTTGCCTATAGTACTGAGAAGTGATGTGCCAGGGTCACAGAGTGAGTACGTAGCACAAACAGAATTTGAACCAAGTCTATATAGTTTCACGGCAACATGGCACCTTACTTTGTCGCAATGATGCCTTTTTCAGACACACATATGTGATTTAAAATAACTTATTTCTTTAAAGATAGATTTTTTCCTACCAATTGTCATACCAGTTATATTTGAACAGTGTATTTGTCTACATGGAAATGAATTTTCAAAGTGAAACATGAGTGAAATCTGGGATACAGAATGATAAGATTTAAACTGAAAATGTCACACAGTGTTTCAATGTTCTGACAACTAACACCATGACTAAGAGAACTTGATAGTAATTAAAGAAAGAGATAACTGAATTTTTTTTTTTTTGGCTTTTGGAAAAAAATAAGCTTCTTGCAAATGAAACTTTGCCAGAAATGGGCTTCAGGAATACTTAGCCACAGTCATGTTTGCTTTCAACTTTTTATTTTAAATGCTTAATTGTAGCCAGGAGGCATGTTTAAGAAAAGAAGCAAAATGTCATTTTGTATCTTCAAATGCCCATCAGTTCATGTGGCTTCCACAGTGTTTGCTTACTCACAGCTGTGATTGCCTTTCATTTTTACTTTTTAGTTAGAATGTTTAATTGGGAGCAATAGGGAGCACTAAAAGTGCCTGACTGAGCTATTTAATAAAATTTTCACATGAAAAAGAAACCCCAGAAATGGCTGAAGAATACATAGTGAACCCTATAGAAATTTCCTTCAAAGGGCTTGTTAGGCCAATCTCTAATTTGGGGTGGAACCAAGTTAATCAGGCACATTTCACAGAAACTCATCACAGTAGTTCATTGTAATCTATTTTTTCTCAACTAAGTTCTATTGATAATCTGTTGTCATGCGCAGAAGACAAATATAAATGTGCTTGTTTGGTCCCAGATGTTACAATTGAGATAGAAACACGATGGGAAAATCATTAATACTGAATATTAGAAAAACTACAACAATAAAAATAATATTCAATCAGAAAAAAATGAAAGATTTTAATGACAGGAGTTGCTGTCATCTTATGAGGGATATGGGTATGTCCTAAAGCCCTAAAGAAAAGGACAATAGATGCAACAGAAACTAGGTAGTTAGTTGAATGGAATTCAGAAAGATTAAAAAGTTATATATTTAACAGTGCTTTTCCCTTTCCATCTCTCTTGCTTAGGTTTACTGAGTAATCTCTGTCTAAAGAAACTACACTAGTTGTGTGTAGATCTTCATATCTACTCAGCCAAGTTACAGAGAAGTGACAAAGAGATGATAATATACTGTAAAATACAGAAGAGTCCATTGCCAATCTGGGAAGCCAATTTGAATGTTTGTGTGTCTAATGAATTTTGAATGCTGTTTGCCTGGCTAACCACAAACACCTTAAGTTGTCACTGCCTATAAACAGTTCAATAATTTCCAGTTCTTTCTTCTCAAATATTAGGAAGGAAAGAAAATAGGCTTCCCCCCCCCTTTTTCCTACTGGCAAATAAATTATGGAACTGCATAGTAGCACCATCTCAGCAGTTGAACTGAAAAAAAAACATTCAAGAAAGAAAAAAGAATGTTTCAAACTTTTTTTTCCTTTAATTTCCAGAAAGACTTGTTCTCATTGGTTATTGAAAGTAATTTACAAGAAGTCTCTTGTAAAAACAGAATTAAAAGCTGAGTTTTATCTTGTGCAAAATGAAGGGGACTGGGCTAGGTAATCGGTAGGGTCTTTTAGTCCCTAATATTGTATCAATATTATGAACAAATTATCAATATTATGAATAAATTATGAATATTATGAATAAATAGCATGAATAAATTGAGAAGAAACAGTATGGTCTAATGAATAGGCAACTAGACTTGGAGTCAGGAAGATCTAGGTTGAAAATGACTCAAATATACATGAACCCAAGCGAATTTATGTAACTTCTCTATTCCTCCATTTTCCTCATCTGCTAAAAAAAGGTTTAGTCTTGATCTCCAAAATTCTTTTCACCTATAAATCTATGGTGCTATGATAATAGAAATTTACTGGCTGAAATACAGTCATTTCTTTCTGCATTTTCCCAGTTTTCTCATTTTAACATTCCCAAGGATATAAGAATGGTACCAAATGGGAATTCAAGTGAAAATGTGACTTCAATATGGTGGGCTATGACACCAATCCAATGTTTTGCTTACCCGTGCTTTTACAGGAAAACTTGGTTTTCTCATCACACAAACGCACAGTGCCATTGCAGCCCTTTTCATCACTGCCATCTTCACAGTCTTTTTCTCCATCACAGCGCCAAAGGTCAGGGACACAGTTCCCATCAGGGTCACACTGAAATTCATTCCCATTGCACCCAGCAGGAGAATGAATCTCTTAAATTGAAATGAAGGAAAGAAAAAAAAAGTACATACATATATATTATGTCACCTGATGAAAATTATTCTTTGTTTCTCATTTTCTAATAATTCTGGAAAGGCTATATTGTTACCTCAGTCTTTTAACAAACATAATACTGATGTTTTTAACTTCATTGAAAACCTAAGATGACAGATAGTGACTGCTTCCTACACAGTGATGGACAATGATACATATACTTTGTGAGCCCATGAGAGAGGAAGAGGCAGCATTTATACATTTATTTGTTTGTATTTCAATCTTTCAGACTTAAGGCTCAGTTCTTTGAAATACACACACATATATACATATATACATGCATATACATACATACACAGATAAATATATATATATATATACATATATATAACACACACACATATGTCATAAATCCAGGGATTCTATGATACTATTTATTTATTTTGTTCTTTAACTTCTCACAGACTTCAAAGGAACCCAAAATGGGATTTTTTTTTACTAAAAGAATGAAAACATTGAAGGAAGTTCTAGAAAATCTTAAAGAATATCCAAAGAAGGATATGAGAAAAAAACTTCAGGATAGAAACTCTGGTCTCTGGAGCGATACAATGTTAATTACACACACACAAAATGAGTTTTATTAAAGACAGACACTATGGATTCAACTTCAGTTGATAATGCTAATTTATTCAGTGCATAGTTAACAGCAGAAATTGCCCCCAAACTGATTATTGAAAACAAGTTAAATTCTACCCTTTAGAATCAATATAATTGAAGGAAGAATTAGAATAAGCAAATTTTGTATTAAAATAGTAGTATTATACAATCACCATGAAAAAAGTTCCATTTTAAAATGTTATTGATTTTTTCTAAAATAACAGAAATACTTAAGCTATTATGAAGAAATACCAAAACAGTATTCCCAAATGACATGGTCTAAAATAAATGTTTTAGTTTTATTTTTATAGTAAAGAATGTTACTATAACCATTGCATAGGACTTCTGGCATTACTATGATAATTATCAATAATAAGAGTAATCATTATTATAACTTTGGACATCTCATAAAGCATGTGTTAGTAGTATCAGGATCTTGCCCTTGCTAGAGGGTTCTGGTTGGTCCTCATATCTCTCCCTCCCTAAATTGAAGGATATATCAACAGGGATTGCTATTGAAATAGGAAGACCATTCCATTCAATAGAATTTTAAGAATTACTCACTCACACCTTCTCTCTAGATGAGCTGGAGAATAGAATAAAAGTCCCTATCAGTGTCTTCTGATTTGTCCTTCTTTATCTGAGCAAAACTGATAAAATAGCAATTATGAGTGATCTTCATTTCAAGCCTAGTGTATACATTGGGATAAGGGGAGTTCCTTAATCAGTCAGTTCCAGTATCCCAAAAGAAGTGCTTTCTGAAGATGCAACTTCTTGGAGGAAAAAAGGATCCCTGATGGAAGAGTGAGTCATGCATCCTTGTGCTGCCCAGAAGAGACAGACTTCGAGTTATTTGCTCATACAGCAGATCTGATGTGAAACTAGAATGCTTTAATTATTTGTAATGATATAAATAATTGAGTTCATGAGTTTATGAATCATGTTTTTTTTTTAAACATTTCTTTGCTGCTGTAGGAAATTAAAAAAATCACTTATTTGGAGAGTTTGGAAGTGAATACATTTCTGGAAGGAACCTTGTTAATCCCTTTGGGGAGACTCTAGATATGAAACAAATCTGAGCATTAAGACATTTTCGGGGGACTGGGAAATAAGGGTAAAATGAGTTAAAGAGCATGAGAAAGCTTAGACTACCATCTTTAGGACAAAGCTCTTGGGGGATTGAACCTGCTCCCCAGAATCAGAGCTGGAGCCTCACTCCAACTCTTGCCTTCATACTATAATGAGATAACATCAGATTGACAAGTTATAGATTAGTGTTCTGTACTTTACTAATAGGATCCCACAGTGTCATAATTTAGCATCAGTTTTATCTGAAGTCTATCATCACCTTAAGATATAATGACAAGAATAATAAACCCTTATTCTGATACCTCCTTGTGGAATAGAGATAACTCTGGGACCTTGAAGGCTATTAGACTATGAAGAAGAATCAGAGCTATACATAATGAATACTTTCTTTCTGAAGAGAGTTGGGTTGCCATGAATAAAGTGAACAGCAAATAAAATTTCCCAAAATAAAATTCATCATGTCTTATCATACAGGAAATTACTAATGACTAACACAGGAGTCATTTTCTAAAAAGCTCCATTATAGAATCTCTCAATTTGGGAAAGAAAATATCAAAATTAAGATAAAATTAGAAGACATACTAGAAATAAGAAGATATGGCATACAATTAACACAGCTGTAATCAGGGTCATATGATTGAAAATATGAGAGGGTAACAGTTTTATGGAGGCAGTAAGATGGGTCCATGGATAGAATGTTGGGCCTGGAGTCAGAAAGACCTAGAGTAAGGAAGAGTTTGAATCTGGCCTCTGACACTTATTAATTGTGTGACCCAGGACAAGTCATTTAACCTCTGTTTGCCTTAATCCACTGAAGAAGAAAATGGCAAATCACTCCAGTGTTTTGCCAAGAAAGCTCTATGGACAGTATTGGCATGCTGTGGGTCACAGGGTCATGAAGAGTTGGACATGACTGAATGACCCAACAATTGTTTTGTACTTGCTGCACCACCTAACATCAAAAGCCGATCAGTCAACTATTGTCAATAAACATGTTATAAGTACTACAGAAAATATGCACCAAATCTTCAGTGGTTGAAGTTGAAAGCACAAGTGATGAACACAGATGCAATACAAAAGTTAAAAGCTTTATGGAATAACAGGTAAAAAAATCTTTAGCATTCTCACTCAGTCTTCTGAACCTTAGTGTCTCTTCAGTAACAGCAATGATTCAGTATGAACGACTCCTAACTCTCCACAAGACATTGAGTCTACCCAGTGAAAAAAATGGCAGTTGGGGTATGATGGGAGGAGAGGAATAGAGGAATGAAGGCAGGCTAGGACAACTAATAGGGCTTCCAAACATGAAGGAAACAAGAGAGGACAATTTGTTGAGCTGAGTCATCTTCTGTCAGCGTTCACATTAGTCTGGTGTCAGCACATTGCCCTCACCCCCCAAGACCAAGAGCCCGAGGGCCTAACCCTCATCAGTCTTTGAAATGGAGGGATGAACCAAAGATTGGAAAGAAAGACAACCTGCTGGGGCTAAAAGAGAAGGATGTTGTGTCCAAGCAGATAAGCCAATAAATAGACTCATCCATATAAATGAAAAATAAGTAAAAATTCAAAAAAGGGTTATATTTCTGTAAGCAAACATTATGCTATGAATGAAAGTAAACTAAAAATCCACAGTTTTCTGAAAAAGAGAATGCTGATATTAGAGAACATCAGTCAGAAATTCTTAAATGGTTCAAAAAAGAATACAATGTTTAAAGATATTAGGATGGAAATAAGCCCAGAAATCATAATTAAAAAGGATAAACAATGAAGCAACTATCTTATAACACATGATAGAGAATCTATCCAAAGAATTAGAGTCCCTTCAAAACAATTTGAGATTTAGAATACAACAATATGGAAGTAGAAAAAAAAACAACTTGGTAGAAGAGAAAGTAAAGTATTTTGCAACAACAGATACATTCTATACAATACAAGTGAATGATATTGGATATATTATAAAGAAAGATAATATAAGGGTCATAGGTCTCTGAGAACAGGATTTTAAAGACTATGCCACATTACCGGGACACTACAAGAAAAATGCAAAAAACTTTTGAATCCAGAAAACAATAGAGTAATGAATTATTAAATCAACAGATGGGGGGGAGGAAGGGAAGCTTGAAATATGACAATAGTTATATTTTGCTAGGTTTTTAAAAAGGCAAGTGAAAAATCTTCAGGTATTATATGAAGGAATGGAAATTCAATTTGCTTAGGGGTATGTGTGTGTATGTGTGTATATGTGTGCATACACACATTATATATATACATATATATATATATACATACACATACATATATGAATGTATATATCTATATATCTGTATATAGTAACTACAAGAAATTCAAGAAAAGAATGAAATAGCACACCACCAAAGTCAAAAGAATGAAAGCTAAAAGCCCAAATAACATACTCTGCAAACTTTTGCCTAATAATTGATGGGAGGACCTTCAACAAAAGATACACATTTGAGGCACTGTTAGGAAAAAAATAGTGAGTACAATATTTGATTTACATATACCTCATTCATAAGAAATAAAAATTAAAAAAATACATTTGTCAAGAAAAGTATATACATTAAAAATATTTTCCCATGTGAATTTTTTATTTAAAAAGAAAAAGAAAGAGGTATCATTATGGAACAGAAATGATCTAATACCCTAACTGGTTAAGAGGGTCAGAAGAAGGAAAGGGGAAAGAACTGAATAAGACTCAATGGGAAAAAAAAAATCATGCTTTCCCCCAAAGTAAACCAATATCTTGAGGGACGGACTGAAGGATAGGAAGTCATTTTACCAGGGAGGGCTGGGCAAGAGACAAAAAGAACCTAGAGCTTCACTGACATACAACCCATAAACTACTAACTACATTTAGACTTTAATATCACAGTGCCTGAAATTTTCTATTCAGAAATAGAAGTGGCACTAAAGAATATGAAGACAAAAAGAATAGCTGGGTGAGACCATATTTCAATATATCAAAGTAATGTCTATTTCAGAAGCAACAAAATTTTGAGAATGCTGAGGAATTAATTTTCAAGATATATGAGGAGAGATAATAAATGCTTGGGAAAAATATGAACATTATTACTACTGAAAAAAGCTGATAAAAATTATCAGCTACTGACAATGCATATGCCTACTTCTCCATGTCTACAATATTTTTACGAGGACAATCTACACATGAATCAATGGCCTCCTTAAGGAAAGAATGAAGAGAGAGCAGGCAGGCCTTTGTAATTATCCAGCTTAG